GAGCATTTTAAGAAGCTGGTCCTCCAGTTACACAAAAATCTAAGGCAGACGGAAATGTTTTAAAAAGGAACCTTTTAAAAACAGACCTTTCTAATGCCCAGCCAAAACAGAAAGCAGCAGTCCCTTCCAACCCAACCCATTCCACGATTCTATGGTTCTGCAGCTTCTCACTATCTGAACGAGCCCAAATGCAAGAGCTCAAAGTCTGCTAAAAACAAAACCCCAAAACTAGTAGATTGAAAAAGATAAACCAATCGGGACAAAGGGCAAAGCAAATGAGTATTTTAAAGAAACACCTATTTAAACAACCTCAGGAATGATCTTTTAACATAACGAGGACAGTAGATTCCAGAGGATTTGGTTTTCAATTTTTCAGCATCCCATAAAAACCTGAAAAATGGCTATTGCTCATGGTGAATGATTTGCCATGCATTAAACAAAAATAGTAACTTTGCAAATGCTGTAATTTGCTTTTTTCATCACTATAATATTTTACTAGTCATCAAGAAAGTTGGTTTAGATTTTCTAGCAGTCTTAACTCTGTCTACCTAGTTCTGCTCTTCACCTATCAAATATAAATGTAAAAATACACTTTTGGTATTCTCAGGCAGAAAGGGGAAAAAAAAAGGTCTGAGGTCACAGCTGGAGGGGCTGTGTTGCATGCAAGTGTACTTGAAAATCTGTGCAGGGTCCAAACACTCCGAGTGAACTACAGTCTCATCACGGGCAAAAAACCACTAAGGCAGCTGCTGAGTTTCCTGAGGTATCTCCAGTGGTGTAATGAGAAGCCACAAGGAGAACTTACAAAGAATATCTATATTATGAGTTATAAAGAGTAAATGTCATGGGAGTTTCTGCTTCCCATATCTCCTAATAAATGAGGAGAGACACATTTGATATGAAAAGGCCACAAAGGCTTAAGAGGGATGAAATTATGTATTTTTTTAAGAGACTACACGAACTGAACTGTGGAACTTGCTGCCTTATGACATTACTAAAGGAAATACAGCTGCCAGAAGTTCATACACTTTTGAACAACTCTATTATAGAAACTATGATCGTATCTATGACATTATGCTACCAAGAATAAATGTGTCTTGTTCTACAAGCCAGCCATTTTCTGAGAGTCCTATAAAACATGGCACTGAAAAATGCCAGGGCTTGTACTCTGCTGAAGATGAAAACACATTTGCAGTTCTTCTTGCCATTCTCTGACTCTTCTGATACAAGACACTCAAGAAACAAATGGCATGGACAGAGTGACCCCAGACTACCCCTCTGTCCCAGGCAAGAACAACTGTACATATCTGTTTTGAGGGAACTAATGCTCCTATTTGAGCATTTTTTATGCTTCATTTTCTCAAGTCACAGCAGAAAACATGGCAAAAGAAGGAAATGGTAATAGCTGACTGGGGGCTCTGGAGTATCCTCCCAGTCACAATATCATGGCATCAATATCTCACAACTATGGCAAATATTGATATGGGCTGTACCAATACACATTTCTAGGTGGTTTCTGTAGGACATACCATGTCTTCTCTGTTTCTTTTTACTTATGTCAGTGCAAGGTTTTTAAAATGAGAACTTTCCCATCCAAATTGAAGTCTCCTGCTGCAAAGGAAGGTAAGCACAGATATTGCAAGTACACTTCCACAGCTGTTTGCAGTCCAGAGAAGAACAAAGAATGTCCAAGGTCCCTGCTCTGGTTTGGAGGGTTGCATGTTTGCTGTAGCTTCTTACAGACACATTTGTCCTTTTTCCTTTCCTTCCCCACACCAGGCACTTTTTTGTTCACAGCTTTTCCAACCAGTCTTCTCAGCATCTCATTTCGGTCCTAGTCTCCATCCTTATTTATTCCCTATTGCGTGTCACAGTGCAGGATGGATGCAGGTGCTCAGGGTCCCAGTCCTCTGCCCAGGTTCCACATGGCAGATGCTCTGTTCAGGCCCCTCACACTGAGTTGGAAGGTGCTCCTTCACTCAGTGGATCTTGAGATTTGTCAATGTTCCTTTCAATTGGAGATTTTGTAGAGACTTGTCACATCACAACACTCAGGAGGTATTTCATAGACATGGCAAAGATTATAAACTTGGCTATCACAATCAAAATCTTCATCCCAAAGCCTGGAGAAATTGAAAATCTTCAGGGGAAAAAGGATTTTTTTGTTGGTATGAAAAAACTGCAGCCTGAAACAGACATCTGCTGTGGATAATTTCCGGCTAAACAGCTTAGGTTTCATAGAATTATTTTTTAAAGTGCTAACCTGTTCCTTCCTTGTAATGAAGCTGTACCCTCTGTGTCCATAAACATCTGTTCATATCCTGCAGTTGTGCATCCAGGACATGACCAAATCAGTCTTCTTTCTCTCAGTTGCCTATTAATTTACTGAGGAGTCAGTCATGAAGTTCAGATGTAAGAACACACTGGGTTAACACATTTGGTACCCCATTATTCATATGCTTTTCAAGAAGCACCCTTTAGTTAATGTGGAACTTTTCTAGAAAACTAATTTAATTATTTTCCAAATCATTCCCAGTATTTTTTTTATAAGGATCCCTCGCCTTTAGAAATGTCCTTGGGAGGACAAGCCATCAATAGCTATCTCTTTAGAAAGGACCCACCCCATCATCCTGCAAGAAGAAAATGCCATTCAAAATAACTTGCAAAATGAACACTTTTTATCGATTCAACAGGCTTCCAGAGAACAAAGGATCCACACCACCCTGTGGCAACAGGTTCACTTGAAGCTTTTCTGCCAGGTGTCTCTGCTACGTGGCTCCTATTCTCACACGGATGGCTCACACGCAGGATTCACCATTTTCTATCACAGCAGATGGAAAGCACCCAGCCAAGGCCACTGTTGTCCTTGGAAACAAAAATATCTAAAAAGAGACACTGCTTTCTCCCTTCTGTTCCCCTCTCCTTTCTAAGCCACCACCTTCCTCTCTTGATGCCAAAGTAGCATTATAGTGTGGGCCAACATAACATTTTTTCCTGCATTTTGGGTCTTTTTTCTTTTTTTCTTTTTTTTTTTTTTTGTAGTTCACAAGACAGCCTAATGAAGGGAGGCCCACATGAAAGAAAAACCAATAGACTAAAATAATGAGTCTGGCTCAGAAGGACAAGAAAAGTTTACACATCATAGCTGGTATACTAGTCTTTGTGCAATATTCTAAGTTGTGATATACAATTCAGTAATCTGTTTTTCTACTCATTTGCATTTCATATTCCAAGACAAAGCTTAAAACCCCAACAGAACATTAAGTTATTTCAGAAAGAATTTGCAGAAGGCTTAACAAGCACTTATTTTGTGCAGAAATACAAACAACGTGTCATGAAACAACACAAAGAGTTGGAAGGGAAAAATGGTGCAAACTTTTAGCCCTAAGACAGTCAGACACGCACATCTTAAAAGACTCCGTCTTGAACCGAGTCCTCCTGTCAGCCTGCACTGAACTGCGTGCAGAATCACGCTAGCTGAAGCTCGTTTTTAAGAGGCTTTGAAGGTTTGGAAACGCGTTTCGTGTTTTCCACACGGCATCTTTTGAGAGCCTGAAGTCGGTCAGGTCTGGGGAAGGCTCAGTGTGAGGCCGCCCTCTGACGGCAAGTGCTTCCTACAGCTCCGCAGGGCCAGCTGCACGCCGCTCCCCGAGGTGGAGGGAACGTGTCCGAGCCGCTCTCTTCCACTGCACAGGATGTAAGCACCGGCATGTGCTACCTCGACCTTTCCAATTTCGAGTGGGAGACGGTTGTTGCGCTCTGACTTCTCTGCCAAAATGCCAAAAGCATCATTTCCTCCTTGTCCACACATCACACTGCAGTTTTGCTGCACTTCGTTATTGTGCTCAGCAGAATTTGGCACTGGGACTGGATTCTCCATCCCTCTTTTTATACACTGGGGTCTTGTAAATTCTGGCCTCGCTGAAGGGCTGCGATAAATATCTTAATAGCCTCGTGTCTATCACAGTTTGAAAGCGCTCTCTAGGGCACTGCAACAGAACAGTGCAGAGCAGTATCCTGCCTGCTCTCACATGCCCTTTTTCCTTTCCATTCCCACCTTATCCTGGTCACATCAATCAAGAAGGGCTAATACAGGATTACTCCTAGTCCTACACGAAGCAAGAGGAAATAGCACAGCACTGCTGGACTGGTATAAAAGGGGCTGCAGTCCAGAGCAGAACCTGCATCTTCAACTACATTTTACACAGCGACACAATTCTCCAACATTCCTGACAAAAACTACACATTCAAAACACATCACTCTCAGTTAGGATTTAAGCCCTAGAACATGGACTATATCTCACTATTACTTTGAAGCAGTAGCAGCCGGGTATGTCCCAGCTATTTTGTTGTTTGCTGCATAGGAAGCATGTTATACAGAGCACTGGATGGTAGATGCATGTGCAACTTTGGGAAAAAAATATGAATGAACCTGATTTTCATAAGGACACCAAGTGGTCAATTCTTTAAGGACAAATTGTACTTCAAAACTAGCTTTAGAACACCATAATTAGCGCCTGAGCAAAGTCCAAATTATAATAGTCTTCTCATACTATCATTTAATATACAATACCTGATTTGCAGTTCTGTGCTATGCTTGAGTTGCTTGCAGTTTTGAAGATTCACACTTACAAAAAAACTAAACTCACAGCATCTAGCCCAGCAATGAAGGCTTAGCCTTATAAACACCTCCTACAAAGTCAGACAATCTACTCAAAGGGCAATTTATGTACTTTTATTTGTTGCTGCAGAGTGGGCTGGCAACAACAGAGCCAAAATTCCAGAATAATTCTATCCCTGCTGCAAGTGGATAAGTGCCAAAAAAACCCCAGAGCTGATGGTACGTATGATGACTTGGATACTGATTTTACAGCCAGAATTATTTCCTTTGCATTGCATTCCCATACTACTTTGCTGCTGGATGGTGTTTTGTGCATGCCTGCATGCAGCAGATGCCCTGGTAGCAGCTGGAGTAAGTGCAGTGAAAGAAGGTGGCTTACCTTGCGTCGTCCCGTCGAGCCCCATGAGACATTTCATTGCCCTGATGATTTGCTCTGCTACGGGCGGGCACATAGACGTGGCGTACACAGCACTGTGAGAATGAGTTCGTAAAAAGTCCACAAGGTCCTTACACAAGCAAAACAAAGCATGAATGAGCTGTGAGCTGGCCAAACAGCACATCTCCCTCTTAACTACTGCAGGAGTGAGAACGTGCAAAAGGAAGAGGATGTTTCACCAGTTATTGGTTTGCTTTCTTGGCTGCTACTGTTAATGTGTGGCCTGAAGAAACATCAGGCAGGTGCAAATACTTTACCATATCAGTAGGGCAATTACAGCTGAAACAAAGGTCTGGAATAGAACAATGTTTACTTCTGTGCTAAGGCTTACTATAAAGGAGCCAAAATCAATTAAATCCCAATGAACAGCTGCACTTAAAATACTGCTCAGTTCCTCTCTGGGAATGAAGTGAAGGCTTACATGACATCAGTATCATTTCTCTGCCACAAGATGTAGCTGAGGAAAATCAACCTTCCAGGGATCAATCTTTGGCTATTAGCATATGAATTCCTTTCAGTTGAAAATTCCTATCAGCATGGCAGGCACGGTCATATTAATGTCAACATAGTTGCTTTAACATTTCCTTTAACTAAGAGCACAATCTGCTCCTAGAAAAAGCATTGCTGTACCATAGACATGTCTAAAGCACCAATAACTCTCCCAAATCCAGGGACACTGTAGTAATTCAGCGCTTGATCAAGCCACCATTGTTATGACAGTTTACATCTCTCAGTGCAAAGTGTCACAGTAATGGTTACCACACTAAAAGCTGAATGCATGTTAGTTAGAAAGGGATAAGACCTGCTTGAAAAGCACTTTTGATTAAAAAAATCACCATAAACCCCCCAAAAGACAGTAACACAAATTATTTCCATAAGAGCTGCATGAGTCTATGCTGTAAATCCAATGCTCTGGATAAAGATTTACCTAACCTTCTACAAATTACACATTGATCTATTTCAACTGTTATCCTATGGGTTGGATCAAATAGCTGGGAAGGCTTCAGTGCTCCAGCTGACACAGAACAGACAGTGCCACAGTGAGTTTTTGGCTGCAGGGATGAATGTAAGTGTGCTGAGTGTCTTGGGTGGGCAGCTGCCACCAAGGCCTGGAAGCCTGAGGCAAAGCTTAGTGATATGCAGGAGCAAAGCTTGAGAAGTGCAACCCGCTTTCATTTAAGAAAACTTCCAAGGATTAGATGACAATTTACTTTAGACTGCTTTTCACAGGTCTAGCCTTCCTATAATTTCTAGCTGCATTAGCCACATGGTCTTTCGTAAGAGTTAAACTTTGAGATACAAATACATGAAGCCAAGGAAGCCAAGAGAATTGGTTCTCGATGTATTATGATAGCCTGTTTTAAGATCTCCAAGAGTAAACCCAAAAAAGACAGTAAGAATATACACTTTATACTTTCCTATAGCCCTTTTATTCTACTCAAGCACTACCCTCACCAATGTTATCCTGACAATAACCATATGGGCTGTCTAAACCAGATTCCTACTCATTCAACAAACTACTTAAGAAATACATTCAGTAGGGTATGAAAGGGGTAAATAATCAGCAACCACTTAATATTTCTGCCAAGCAACAAAACCGATGACATTTCACAATGGTGCTGATTATGCTTTCTCTTCTTCTACACTCCCAGTTACAACAAGCTCAGCTCAACTTTTTGTTGACATGTGTTGTTGGCGAGAGGTTGTTTTGTTAATGTATGCAGAGCAACTGAGGACATGGATTTTGCTATTGCAAAAGGCCCTCAGTAACCTTCTTTCTCTATCCTCCTAAAAAATGCAACTATGACAATCCACAACTGTTTAGGAATTTTATTACCAGTGGATGAAACTGTGGCTTTAATCTCTCAATATTGCTCCACACGCTGTGTACAAATTTGAAACAAAGTAACGAGCAGTCTGCATGCAAATTAATGTAGTGAAGTATATTTAGCCAACCACAATGTGTCTAAACATTTCCAAGACAAACAACAATCATCAGGGTGGCACAGAAATACCCAACCCAAGCAAATTACATAATACGAGCATTAGACAAAAATAAGAAAGTCTGTTTGATGTGCATTTGGGATCCACACAGAAATGGGACTAGTTTTAGATTAGTGCTCCTGTGGAACAGTCTACGCAAAAAGATACTGAAATATATCATCCATAATAAGAAGAAGGTACTTCTCCCCATCTTGATGTTAAAATGTTTATGTTTTACCTTTTTGCCAGCTATGTATCCTCCAGCGGCACCGAAGCTCTTTGTGAACGTTCCCATTAACACATCAACGTCATCAGGGCTCATCCCAAAGTACTCCACAACTCCTCGGCCCGTGGCTCCCACTGCTCCGATGCTGTGAGCCTCGTCCAGGTAGAGGTAGGCTTTGTATTTCTTCTTCAAGGAGACCAGCTCCGGCAGGCGCACGATGGAGCCTTCCATGCTGCAGGCAGAGAGAATGGTGACCAACAAACCCTGCCCCCTCTCGGAGATACTGCCAGCACATACAGGCATTGATTGCCTTACTTCTGACACATCTTCTGCAACCTCAATTTGTATTTACAGTTCAAAGAAAAATTGCAACCCTTTCCCACTGCAGGTGAGTGTAAGACAATCAAAACCAGTCAAAACCACCTTGAATATTTGGAGATTTTCAACATGCCAGAAAAGAGAAGGAAAGGTATAAAGTGAGGGAGAGCTACTCACCCAAACCAGCGCACTAAAATTCACCACAGAACAACTATTGTAATGAATTTTAAAGACCTTTACTTCAACACCAGCTACTGTGGCAATATTTGAGAGCAAAATAGCCTGGTGCAAAGAAGTTAGGTGTAACATACACAGGAAATGGGCCACAAAAAAACACTGAGATGGTGCCATGGCTCTAAGTAGTCCCAGACTTCAGAGTGGATAGAATCAGGGATTAGAAAAGAGATCTCAGATCCCCTCTTGCCAGCTGCTGCTCCCAGTATGTACTCTTTAGGAAACATAGCCTGCTGTGTAGAACTCAAAAGGAAAAAAGTTTTCATTCTTTTTACTTTCTTACAGCAGGGAAAGGAAAGATTCTGAACTTGTTCTAATGGTGTATTGAGATCTGTAGAAATAAGAAGAGATAATAAATCCTTTGTACTGTTGGTAATCATGTCCATAATTTAGAAGGCACGGAGGAGGTGTACAGCAAAATGAAAGCCCATGGAGATAAATGAGAAACACACTCTAATCCCATAAAGATGAAGTATCAATAGCATTGCTGTGAAGACTATTATGTTTTGAGAACCTTTGTGAGAGGACTACAGCTATGCTTGGATACGCTCTGATGCACTCAGTGTTCATCATAATGAGTTAAACATGTTCTCTTCCACTAGGTCTAGCGAGTGAGTCTTGAAATGCTAAATGCTTCCTATTAAACACAAAGTGACTGTGGTGTGTGCCAGGAAAATCAGTGCTCCATGGCTAATGCCCACGGCTAAGGTGCATCCACTTGCAGATGCTACAAGAGCTGCAGGTAAGCAGAAACAAGGAGTTTGTTCCCAAACAGCATGTACAAAAGAGCAGTGTAATGAACACAACTTCTTGGCAATCTTTAGATCCTAGACCAGTGGCTTTCACAGACTTTTATTGCAACTAGCTGCAGTATGCAGCTGGGAGGTTGGTACCACAAAAGGAGAGGGGTGTTCTTTGAGAACTTGGGAAATTCCTGACAATTTCAGTCTTCCTTCATCCTTTGGTCTCCTGAGTAAGCTTGGAAACAGCTTGGTCTCCAGTTTTGAAGGAGACCTGCCCATAGGCAAGTCTCCATTAGTTTGAAAGAACAGCACAGGGGAGCAGCCATGGCCAAGGGCCGCCTGTGCTGTTCTTACTGGGAGGTTCAGAGAGCCTGGCTGTGTGTGCCTGGAGGCATATTTTTGGCTGTCAGGTAACTGCTGGCAAATCTTACCCTTCTGTCTCCCCCAGCCATAGAAGAGGCAGCTGTGGGGCTGTATATTGGCACCCTGATTCCTTGCAGCAAACAAGGGTGGGCTTGTACTGCAAGCTCCAGAAGACTGCTCTTTCTCACTTTTCCCAAATGGCACTTGGCAGCTGGGGCAGAAGCAACTGAAACCACCACAGCTATTTTCCTAATGAATACAGAGGCAGAGACCACAGTCCTCACATAGCCCAGAGTCAAAGCATTAGTCAGCTAAAAATTATACCGAGCCATGGGGTGTGTTTTGGGGGAGATGCAGCATCATAGGTGCTGGGGATGGCAGCTTTTGGCTGCGTCTGGTCGGCCTGCAGGTTGGCTATAAGATCAGAGGGTGAGAGTGGTGCCAAAGAGCACCTCTACAGAGGGAACCAAATAGGCACCCCACTGCCACTCTACCTTCCAGCAATACTTGAGCAGACCAGCTAGGCAGAGAAGGACCATAATAGTTTTTCCACATCTACATGGACATCATTAGGCTTAGTGCCTCGTGGAGATTCAGATGGGAGAGATAGTATTTATCTTCAAAAAGACAAGAGGAAAAATGGTAAGTTAAAAACACAGAGTTTGATTTGCTGCATATTTGTGGAATAGAAGCAAAGAAGTTGTTGCTGAATCCCGGAATACACAGAGCTGGTACGTGGCTGTTGCAAGATTTACCCTTTAAAAAGGATTTAATGAAAACTTTTCTTGCTTGCATGAGTGGAAGGTTTCTTTTTGAACTCTAAGCTGTTTAGCAAAATGAGGGATTTGCATTCAGCTTCAGTGTTGATTGACTGCTCTTGAGAGACACTGGTTGACATAAATGTTACAACAGTTGACAGAGATTCTAACATAGCCTTGAAGTGTCCATGGAGTAGGTGAAGTGCTGCTGGTTCCATGTACCTTTTCTGTGCTGCCATTCAGGCAGGTCTCAGCCCTCCGAAGGGCAGAGGTGAGAGAGAGGCATTTTGCACCCTGCTCTGCTCTTGGTCTCTCTTTTGACCCTGCAAGACAGTTTGGGATATGAACAGCACTCTCGTTTAGAATTGCTCCAAGGTAAAGCTCACTTCACATAACCGCTTGGGTATCCCAAATAGAAAGTTTACTGAATCCTTCAGTGAATATCAATGTCAACTGAGTTTAAACCAGAGAAGCAGAAGTGAACTGTAATTGTTCCGACTCTGGTTGTGTCACTGTTCCAAAGCTATTTATCAGTTTCCAGATCTGCTCTAGCACGCAGGGCACATCAAAAAAGCTGGATGCAGAAGAACATAAGACAGCTCTACCCAGGCCAGATGTTCTCATCATGTGGTACTACATCTTGCCTTCTAGCAAAAATTATTAGCTTGCTGGCAGGGAGGTAAAGCTTCTAGGCTTGTCTCCCTTGTCTACAGGCAGGCACAAAATCTTGCTTCAGTACACACTGGGTTTTAATCTGCTTCCAGATGTGAGGGGATAATCCAAAATTTTGGGATCGACTAATTTTGAAGTTTGATTCAATCCCTATCAAACTGCTGAGATTATTCCTGATGCAGCCAGTGAATTGTGGAGCCTGGTGCTTGCAGAGACAGGAGGTGTGCACTTGTGCTGGTCACTTGGCACACAAACTCGCTCTTGACAGGATGCTGACAGGGTTCGACCCATTTGTTTTGAAACTTGGGAAAAGAGCTTCCTACATCCTACTATGTACCACAGTTTCTATTTCTTTTCCTTAATTAAAAAAAAAATTACCAATATTCAACCTATTATCTTCTTCATAATTGCCTCACTCAACATCTCTACGGATGCCCTGTAATACCACTATTTGAAAACTTCAACGATTCCCCTTTCAGACTAGTTTGTAATTGGGAAAATCCCTCCTTTCCTGACCTGTTACTCCCAAGAGGTATGCATTGCAGTTTAACGTTTAGTTTAGGTATTGTTTTCTGATGTAAACCTTGCACATTCATACAACAATCTGCTTTGTACTTTAGAGCAATAGTTTTAAGGAACCCTTCCAACCCTGCCCTCAAATACAATCCCATACACTGAAACAACAGATGTGTTAACCTTTAATCCTGGTTCCTGGCAAAGACTTTAAATTATTCCCCTATTCTTTTCTAGAAGTCCAGTGACTTAATCCCAGGAAATAAAAAATAACTCTGATAAATTTACTCTGGTATTGGCATTGAGTCACAAGAAACTTGTAATGCACAAGAAAAGGCACTGGACAACATCTAACTGATCAGAGAGCTGTTTTCTTAGCTGGAAGGGAAAATACCCAAATTAAATTAAAAGCAGGGAAAAAAACAAATGGAAAAACAATCTGTTTTGATCAGTTTCTGGTGCCTCATAACTTCTGCCCTGGGCCTTATCCTATCTGACTCCTAGGTAAATATATAGGTAAGAGTGCAGAAGCCTACCCCAAAGCATGTAAGAACACACTAACTGATCAGTCCTGAACTGGAAATGGTAGAAGCCAAGGAAAACATTAGCTAGAATTTAAAAACTAGAAATATGATTTAGCAAGTCTTGTGCCCTCAACACTGCCAAAACTTGTTCATGCTTTTTGTCCTGAAGATTGATGGCTAGATGGTCTTTCTCAGTTTGGAATGCAAATTGAATGTATTTTGCTCCTAGGCTAGTCCAAGTTAAAAACAAGCTTTCACTAGTAGTTACATTTACTTCTGATGATTTTCTTTTTCTCTTTCAGATAATAGAGACATTGAAAAGCAAACAAACATATCCTTATTGCTATTTATTTGACATGTAGCTTGAGTGCTTCCCAAGTCAGGGGGCCAATTCTGCCTTCAGTTGTAATGAAGCAAAATCTGCAGCTTATGCATTCAAATAAAAGTCTGATTTCCAGAAAAGCTCACGTTGGCTAACAATGACCCTTTTCAAATTTTGCCAACTGGTAAGGCCAGGCTTATGCACAGTGTAAACACTTTAACCTATGGAAACAGAAGGCAGATTTTTTTCCATACCATCAACTTCACCATACTAGGACTATGGTGTCCCATATAACATTATTATTTTAAAGAAGGAAAGCTTCATATTTCTTCTGCATCTCTGGAAAAAGCATTTCTGTACAAAATTGCCAAGCTAAACTTGCAAGTCAAGATATTTTAATTTGGAGAATGGCTCTGACCAAGTTATTTAAATTCTGTATTGGTTGTCCCTGAAGCATAATTTAAGTCCTTTAAGGAAAAAAAAAAAACACCACACCAAAAAAGGCAGTATTAACCATTGTAAGAATACATTAACAACACTCTACCTCCTCTTAAACCCTCCAGATGAATGTTAATTTGGCATCTGGCAAATCTGCAAGAAAACTAACATTAACCAATATGGGGTTGGAAAATTTTAGTCTTTTTTTTTAAAATCATGAGCCAAGAAAGGAAAAGCATGCACACAAAAAGAGTATTTCTAACATGTCTTCCTCCAGCTTTTCTGTTGCACATTAAATGTTGTTAGCTACTGACTGGAGTAGACTACCCAGCCCTGTAAGTGCTGTAAGGACAGATGGGCTCTGTGAGTCTTGGGTTGGCAGTGATGGCAGAGAGACAACACGGTGGGGTGAGGTGGCACTCTCCCACAAGTCACAGCAGACTTGCTTTGCAACCAAACCACAGTCTTTAATTTCTGATCCTCTTAGACCACAAAAGCAACTGACCAACTGCTAGAGCTGGTTTCCAATGAGGGACTACTAGAGAGCTGAGCTTTGTTTTTCTTTTACTTTACACCTTTCACAAGCACAGTCAGCCAGACCATGGGGCTCCTAATGTTATTCAGCCCTTATGGGGCTGAAGAAACATTATGCTTCCTCTTTAACAGAGGTTTTCTGAGGTTTACCATGTTTTTATTTTGCATTCCAACACAAGGTTCTTTGAACTTTTGAGAATCAAATCTCTTTTGAAAATGAACAACAAAACAAGAGAAAAAGAAAACTCTGTATGAAATATACATCTGGAAATACAGTTATAGGTATTATAGTTGCAAGCATCTCACAGTGGATTTGTCCCACTATTCGGACCAGTGTATGCTTCTGTATCACCAATCTATCTCCTTGCTCCCTAGTAATCAATATCCAGGGTAAAGGATTTAAAAGGAACAAAGCTCAGCAGCTGGAGCATTTTCTGCAGGCCATGTGACCGATGGGAATATCTGTCAGTGAAATGTTGGTGGTCCACTTAATTTCCTCATGATCAAAGTCCCAAACTCTGAGCTTTCTTTTAGTAATGCCAAGCTATGTTTATTTGCAGTTTTGCTCTGTTTATTCTGGTTGAAAGGAGACGTTCAGCCTGCTTTGGATCAGCTGATCTGCTGCCAACCTGTTTCAGCTCTGAGTGACAGGTGTTTAGATAAGGTCTGTTTTGTTCTCCTTGCAGATGGAAAACGTTAGGTAAAAAGGAAGCACTGACAACTATGAAGTTGTGATGACATTCGGTTGTAAAAGATTCCTTATGAGAAAAACTGACCAGCTCAACTCTGCAGCATTTCTCAGTGAAATGGCACAAATGCCTGCCCATCCAGACAGGCTGTATTTCAACAACACAGGATATGATCCCCACACATAAAGCTTAACGTTGCTTTCACAAAGCATGTCACATCCTGTGAATGAGTGCTTCTGGTTCCCTTCTTCTGGTACTGCTCCTGGTACTGCTCTCCTTACTCCCCAAACTGTCCTTCTCTCGCTCCCTCCCTCTCTCATCAATGCCACACTTGCCTTGTCTGGATCCCTGCAAGCCCTTTTACTGTCCAAATTCCTGCTTCATCAGCCATTCCCTCCTCTTCATGATCTCTGCCTCTCCCTGCTGCAGCTCCTTGCCCACCAGTGGCTCCCTCTCCATGCCACCCACCAGTCCCATAGCTGCTTCCTCAGTAACCTTCTCCTAACTTGAATGGTTGCCAGGACAGAGCCCAGGATGGTGAGCTTGGCTGGTGCCTCTGCTTTGCTGCTTGACTCTAGTGATAGTTTATCTTTCTGCTGGGAGTAAGATGCACCACACCAGTGAACTGGAGCTATCTGACTATGATGCTCTATAATTACATGGTATGATTGACACTGATACTATCTGATGGATTCTCAAAGGCACTTCTCTCATTTAGATCCCTCCAAGGACTGGGGCTACATGAACTACTACTATATAATTTTTTGAAAGCCAGACTTTTAATTTTTTTTTTTTTTTTCTGTTAAAGTGTGAATCCATTAGATCCAGCACTAATAACTAGAAAGGTGCTGAAAACACTTAGCCTGTGTTTAGCTCAAGATTTTAGATTCCAAGAGCTGGGTAAGAACTGGGCATGCAGAACTTAAAGTAGTCCTGCATAGTTGCACAGCATCTAACTGGAGCAAGTTACAACAGGGCTCAGACCCACAAAATGGAAAACAACATGTTTATAACATCACAAAATGCAATTGCAACCTCCACTCTCATTCAGATTTTTCTCAGATACCTAGGGTCAATGTTTGCTTCACTCAACATATCATTCTGTCCTCAGAAATTATAAAAAGCACTCAGGTCTCTCAACCAGAAACATACCTGTAAATGCCCTCCACGAGGATGATAATTTTTCTCCATGCTCTGCGGGTTCGGGGCTGGCCATATATTATTGCATCCCTCAGCAATGTCTCAAGGCTCTGCATATCTTTATTTAAATATAACAAAAAAGGGGAAAGGAAAAACATTAACAAAGATTTTTCCAAAGAAATTTTGATTTTCTACCAGGTGTTATTTTTTTCTACACAGAAAAAGACAACATTTAAAAACTACGTCCTGAAGATAAACTTCTTTTATTAGTAGGCAAGAGCCAAATTGATTTCATTTGCCTGAATGCAACCCAGTGACAAGGAGAGTTACAAAAAGCTTCCAGTTATGCACCTTATCTGGGAAACTTCTAGAAATTAATGGCACAGGTTTTTATTTAAAGGCAAAACAGAACTACTTTCTTAAGTACTGAGGCTAACTGCAATTCTCTTCAGGGGCTGCTGACACACAGTATCTAAAGGCTTCCAAAAGTGAGTTTGTGGTTGCCTTCCAACATCACTACAGGCTCATCAGTTACACACATTTCTTCAGCAAAGGTTTGTATCAGGCTGTGTGAAGCAAGTCAAGATGCCACCAGTAGAAATCTTGCCCTACTCAAGAAGGAAATTGAGTGAAAGCTTGCTGAGGAGAGAGGGAGGGACAAATGGACACAAGCACGTGGCATGGAGACACTAATTTGGTGCCAAAATGTTTGGCACTGGTGGGACTTTGAGATAAAGAGGCCTAGAACAACGTTAGAAACTTAGCTGCTTTCTCAAGGGTTGATTGTGGGTAATATAATAAAATTCTTGAAGGAAAGCCACCAAAAATTTTTAGAAATGAAAGAAGCAAGAAAACACATCACAGGAATAAGGGTCAGACCAAATGTGACTCTCAGTGCAGAGTTAAAATCTGACCAGCATTCCGGTGTTTGCACATGAATGAATGCTCTCCAAAATGAATTATTGTGGTGCTTTTCAGAAAACTGGATCAACATTCCAAAATGTTTTCAAAGAACATCTTACAGAGAACTCATAATACCCCAAGGAGCACTACAAATCAGCTTAAATTGTGACTTGAGGAAATCAATGGCATTTTTTCACAATATAACATTTTCAGCAACACATCTTAATACAGTTATTATCACCTTCTAAAATGGCATAAGGCTAATCTTTAAAATAAAATTGTCCCAACTGAAGAAATGATACCTTAATGATATTTATGCTATCCTATGGCTTGGTTTCCACCTGACTGGAACCGGGCCAATTGCATGGTAACTGCAATGAATAACCTCCATCATGAATAACCTGTGACCTGAGAGATGTGCAGGTTATGACCTGAACCCTTCTATCCTGACACCTCACCTCTTCTTAGCACTGTTTGCTGATGTCAGTGAGAGACAAAGTTCTCAGCAACACCCATGCCATGCTGCACCTTACTGTGTAATCTCTTCACCTAGCAAGACCTTGCTAGAACGTACAAAGCACAGAAAGCTGCCCCCCGTTTCCCTGGTGCAATCATCTGCACAGCTCAACGGGCTCGAAGCTGGAAACGCTACTGTGAGTAATGCAGTGCAGACAGGAAGGTTTCCACTAGATGGCAATCGAGGAAATAAAAGTTCCTTGGTGCTTTAAAAGGGAAATTTTTAACCCAGCTGTGCATTTGCAGCATGCATGTATTTCATATGGCAGCTGCTCACTTTTCTGAGCAGGTAATATTAAGTTATCCTTTTGAGTTCTGAGAATTAAAGGGCTCCACGGGATGACAGAGCTCGCTCAAGCACTCAAAGTGGGCACTCTTCACTAAATTATTTCTCTACTGATGTCATTGTCATGTAAGTCCTTTTGGGACCTTTGAAACCCTCCTCTGAACCACACGAGGTCTTTTGATTCAGTATTCTGTCTACCTGTCAGTCCAGATTGGTTCTGGACTTCAGGAAAGTCAGTCTGCCTAGCCCTCCAAGCTAAAAGCATGGCTTGAAGATTCAGTTGTTTCAACAGACAACCACATGAAAAGAAAGAATGAGGAGAGGATAAAGAGAAGTGAAATGTATATAACTCTGTTTAATAAAGCTGGTTAAAAATACATGGATATGAGTAGCTCCTCTGTCCAAACTAGCGTGGAACATGGGCCACTCCTCAAGAGAAGGCTGCTTCTGTTATTCTCAGTATAGATGCAGAGCTCTCTGTGTGCTTGTGCTTAGACTTTGCAGAACGTGGGATATACTGAACTCCAGGGAAACCAGCGGAGCAACCCCAGGAGACTTTCAGAAATAAATTATTTGCCCATTAAATATAGCTAGACTATGAAACACTGGGACATTGAGGTGGTAAGTTGCACAAGTCCATCTTGAATAACCAGTCATGAGGAAAATAACTGTCCTTCCTCCCTTGACCATTACCTGACCAGGCTTTTCAGTGGTAATGGCTAACAACTGTTCAGCAGCCCAGGAGGTGGTGGTAAGGATTTAACTGGATTAATTAGGCAAAGCACAAACTGGTCTCCCTTTCCACCTTCTCCCTATGGCATATTGTCTAGGTATGGAGGATAAAGTTTCCTAAGCAGAGACAGTGGATCTACTGGGTTTTTCAGAATTTAGTGCAGCCTTGCATAACCCTCGTTTGAGATCCTTCAGAGCTACTTCAACAGAAATACCAACACTACAAACTGCCAGTGGGTCAGAGCGAGCCTGGATGTGGGCGGGCAGCCGTGTGTCATGCTGCCTCCAGTGCAGGTGGGACTCCAGGCTCCTGGAGGGGCCCCTGCCCTCTCCCAGGCACACTCAGTGCCTCCCCCAAGGAGACACAGCGGCTCCACCCCTCACCCTCACATTGCAACGCTGGGGATGTCATTGCCCTTCCTCTGCGTGGGCTGGAGATCTCCTGCCTGATGTCAGCTAACTCCTTTTTAATTAAAATAAAGAGGCTACTACTACCCTTATCACATCCCTCTTTCCTTCACCTTGTGTTTGCCACTCTCATTTTCGGTTTCTCCCATTTTACACTCTCATGCAGGCTCATGCAGACTCTGTGGCTACCTGTCTCTACGCAGCCTCCCATGCAACCACCTCTCCCTGGCTGCAGTCCATCTGCTGCAGCATCTGCCTCCTTCTCTCTTCCTCTTCCCTGGCTGGTACCTTTCCTTGTCACTGTCCTATTGTGGGTGACCAGAGGGATTAGCTCCAATGCTGTCCCCCCTTGCAGATCCCTAAAACAACAAAGGGAAACCACTGCAAGGGTTTTGTTGATCTAAACAGTAAGACTACAGAAGGTGGTTTTCACTCCAGTGAAAACTAGTCTTTGGAAAGTCCCTGACTGCTGGCACAGCTCTGAACAGCAAAAACAGCCTTAGAGTCATTTCCCTGAAATCACAGCTTTGAATATCTCCATTTGGAATGGGTTGGTGGGATTGATTACTGCAGCCACAGTAAGAGCCTGAGACTCCTCTCCCTGCCTCTCAATAAACACATATCTCTGAGAATGTAAAGAGCACTCTCTCAGGAAAGTTTCCTATTCACGCTTGGCCAATCAGGCATGGCTGTCCCAAAGCAGAGAGGGCAAAGGCAGACCCAGCACGCTAGGAGCAGGCTAGACCAGTCTCCTCTCTGCCGCAGCGTCTCTATGTGTCACAGGCAAATACACGCCAGACAGGACTAGGCTGTGGTCCACCTATCTGCTGCAATGATCTTGTCTCTGATAGTGGCCAGAGGCTTCAAGGAGGGCAAAACCTTAATGGGTAATGTGCCTTTCATCCTGCTCTGCAGTACCTGTAACACTGCCCCCCCTCCTTGAATTTAAGGTCCACTTATACCTTTGGAAAAAAGAAATAAATTATGGAATCACCTTGTACTAAGCCACTGCAAATTCTTGGGGTTTGCAACCAAAAAGCTTTTTCATTAATCTTTACCTATTCATTTATCTCTTTCATTTATTTGATTGCTTGCTTAAGGGCATGCACTTAAAGTTTTCCAACTCTTTTTATCTTTCTTTTTTCCTAGAGAATATATTTGCACCGACAGGTGAGGGCCTTCTACTGCCTAAAAGTTCTTCCAGTGTTAAGTAAAATCCTCCAGATAGCTGTGTTTTCTCTTTAAGGTGTCCTCATGGCACATGTATCTGAACTCAGAAGCACTAATTTCACTGAGTAAACTAAGAAATGGCAGAGTTGGGTTAACATAAATTCACAACTGTTGTCCAAGCAGGAAACTATATTTGGGATGGGAACCTGAACAGCTCACACCTGCATGACACATGTCTGTCATCAACCACCTGATCTGTGAGAACCTAAAAAACCCCCTGCTACTTTCACAACACCCTGAAAAGGTGTGTAAGGAGGAGCTAGGAATGTGCTATTATGATTCCCATTTCAGATGTGGATTCAAGCACCAGATTAGAGGCCAGATTTTCATCTAATCAAGGTGTGTGATTGTGCCTTGCCATTCCTTGCCATCCTCGTAGCATCACTTGCTCAGATTGCATGTGGAAGTGCCCTTGCAATGAAAAGAACTAGAAATCTCTTTTCCAGATGGCCTGATTTCTGTGTATAGCCAGGACATTCCCACAGATTGCTCAGGCAATTGCAGATCTAAACCTGAAAGTGTGACTGCGACTGAGCTGTTGATGCTATATGGGGAAAAAGCTATAGTAGAATCAGAATGAACAAACAAATGCTAAGCCTGGTACAACACTTTCTTATACAGGCTGATATGAACAAAATTCTCCTGGACATCATCAGTCAGTAACACGCTCATCTGTCCAGTAAAAGAACAAAGATAGAACCTCACCTCATACCAGTGTAAGACCCAGAACTGCTGTGACAGAAGACCCTCGATAAAATCACAAGCTGATTAATGGTTAGCTATTTGGTTTTGCTTTTCAAGTTTTATTGGAAGGGCCAAGGGATTTCAGCTAATATTTAACCAAGATAAAGGTCAGAGGTTCTGAAAAAGTGCTTTAAATATATGGTATTTCTAAAAGATTGTCTTAGAAATAAAAAAGAACAGGTGATAAGTCAGTCTCTCCCCAGGTCAGGAAATAAAAACATCCAAGAGTGTAGCTCCCATATAGCTGGAGCATGGGAGAAGCTCCCTGGAGTGCACTCCTGGTAAGGGAAACGTCAGAC